TGTGTGTGTGTGTCTGTGTGTGAGGTCAGTGAAGTGAACATGTTGGACTCATCAATAATTCATAATCACATATTGATCAGTTTTGATCACTGTGAACTTCTTTTCAAAATAAAAGCATGAAGTTGAATGAACTCCAGGACATTAAGTATGAATAAAATGAATAGACTGAATCCCTGTGATTATCTATACTAGAGTTTCCATCATAGAATATGATCATATTCTATGATGGAAACTCTAGATCCTTTTTCTTTGGGTCCTCCCTTCTTAAACTCGGCTTTTATTTAGAAGGCTGTTGTTGCTTCCTGTGCGCTTGTTTTATGTTCATGTGGAGGTGACAGATCTGCTGCACCAGGGCGGAGCTAAGTCTTTATCTGTACTGGTCTGATCTTTGACAAACATTTATTGAACATCTACTTTGACCTTTTTGGTTTTGTCCATGTCCCATCTGCTCACATGGAGGAGGTAGGGTTCATGACACCAGAGGGAGATAATTGGGCTTCAGTTCTGAGAGCCGTCACATCGTCCATCTTGACTCTTAAAGGGATAGTTCACTGAAAAATGAAAGGTCCCTCATTATCTACTCACCACATGATGGAGGGGGGGTGAAGTGTTTCAGGGGTAAACATTGTTAACCAGACGACGTCATGTAATGACGTAATGAATCAACAGGAAACAGACAACATGCCTCCATTCTGCTGCTGTGATGTCATCGTGTCCACAAGCCCCGACATTCAAATTCAACTGGAAACTTCATACATCGTGTTGTAAGCCTAAATGTCCACTGGAGGTGGCTAAGCTAGCTGACGTAGCTACATGATGGCGTGTCCAAGGGTCCATGAACGCACCACGTAGGAAGATATCAGAGACATTTTTACCCAGAATTCAGTCTGTTGTCCTTAAAAGTAGAGGAGGAGCCAGAGCTTTCGGCATCAATCGTCTGTCCTGTGGGATCATCTCAGGTTCAGTCCTGGACGCAGACTCTTCTACGTTTGAGATTCAAACTGCTGCTGGAGGTCTAGAAGGTGGAGGACACAGGACACATGGAGCTCCTCTGTCCTCTTCTCCCTCTTCATCACATTCATGTCTCATCAGCACGTTATTGACGTCTTCACCAGAGTCCTGATGCTTCTTGGTTTCTAGATCCAGGATCACAGCTGCAGCTACATGATGGATCCTGGTGGATCCTGGTGGATCCTGATGGATCCTGGTGGATCCTGGTGGATCCTGGTGGATCCTGATCATGGACCAGAGATCATGATGGTGGATATTTGTATTTTTCAGTGAACTATCTCTTCAAACTGTTTTCAGGTAGAATCCAGAGTTTGATTTAACAGAACAGAGCTCCGCCCACATCCTAACTCTCTCTCTCTCTTAGGGCGAGTCAGGTTCTCTGTGAGCAGGATCAACTGCAGCTCATCACAGTGAGTCACACACACACACACACACAGACACACACACATACACTCTCACACAGACACACACACACACACACAGACACACAGACACACACACAAACAGCAGGTGTCCTCGAGACTTGTTGTTCATGTGGTCAAATGTTCGGACCATCATGACTCAGGTTCTCACAGTGGAACCAAACGTAACCACGGTAACAGTCTGTGAGTTTCTCTGAGATGTTTAGAGACAAAGAGCTGAAGTTCTGGTTCCATCAGGACCTGGAGCTGTGTGAGAGTGTGTGTCTGTTAGTGTGTGTTAGTGTGTGTGT